CTCTTTCTTCATGCCAACACAGATGCAACTGAATCAGAAAGTTGAAAAGGGACCAGGATTGTGTTAGTATAAATAATATGTATAACTTGCATGAGATGTGGGGTTTTTCTGTTGGTGGTTGCTTTTTTTTTTTTGCCAGTTTCAAGGTAGGAAATAGTTACACTTCATTAAATATAAGGTATGATACACCTGCTGAGTTTGTCTGAGTATTCAGAAAAGAGAGTGATTATCTGCTGCAGCGTGAATGGGTCTTTGATTAGGTAGTTTGAAAGGGCTTTTTAGCAGCAGCACAACTGCAGTACTTGAACCACCACGTTGCATTTGACCTTGGCTTGACATGATGATGTTTCGTGGTTTTATAGATTTAAGAGAGCATTAACCATATTTATGCTTTGCTTTCCTGCTTTCCATTAGTTTACTTTGGTTTATGCTTAAGTTTTATCCTTAGGTGTAATATAAGCCTCCTATGTTAAAGGAATTACTGTAAAAATACAAAGTCTGTCTGTCTCCTCTTCTACAGAGGAGAGCAGTTTTTCTATTGTGGTTTTTTTTTGGGAGGGTGGGGAAGGTGGTCAGATGTCAAGAATAAGCTTTGGTGGTGGGAAAGTATATGAAGGAATTTATTCTCAAAAGGTAAGGGGTTTAACCCTGAAATCTGTGTATTTCTTAAAATACCTTTCAGTGTCAACTTGCTGTTGACTTATTATATAAAAATGAGTATTTATTTTTACAGAATATTTATTTTTAGGCATTCTGTTCTTGCCACGGAGTCGTTTTTTCTTATTTTTGTAACAGTTTCTGACACCGAAGAACCACTCCTTAGATGGTTATTGCTATAAATGGTAGCCATTTACTAGTGTTTGAGTTTCACAGGAACCTCTCTTAAGAGGAGGAGGAAAAATCTGTTTTCATCTCTGTACTGAATAGGTTAGCAGGCATTACTCTTAAGAAACATGGCAAATTCAATACCAGGTAATGTTCCCTGGAAGCAGAAAACTTGCTACTGCGACTAAAATGGTTTAGTAGAATGTTCACCTTTTGCTCCTCTTTGTTTTATGGACTCAACTTCTTTCCCTTTCATCTTTTTTTCCCCTTAAATAAAGATTATTTTTATGGTGGGACGAGGATACCTATCTCCAGACCTCAGCAAAGTACGGAGCAACTGTCCAAAAGCTATGAAGAGACTAATGGCAGAATGCTTAAAAAAGAAAAGAGATGAAAGACCCCTTTTTCCACAGGTGAGAAATGTTCCTCCTTAGTTCTCAGTAGACTTGACAATTCAAATATTAAAAATAAAGATCAGTTATGAGCTCACTGGCTGGTTAAAAGGTTTTTTTATTAGTGCTATAGCATGACTTTGTAAGAGGACTGGTTCAGTAGCTGGTTAGTGCTCTTTAATTTGAAATGTTTATTTTCAGTTCAAAAAGCAGCTATTAAAATGGCCTGTGTAGTTGGAAGAGCATTTATATGTTGGAGACAGTTTCAACTGGGAGACAGTGAAATTAGTAATTGAAATTAGACACACAAATTAGAACTTGGTGTATGTTCTCAGAAATCTTGATACTCCCCTCCTTGCTTTCCCCCAAGCTTTATGAAGGGAAACTGATAGTTTTGTCACAAAACTTGATTTATTGCACCTGCTGAGGAAGGTTTGGGTTCTAAAAGCATCAGGAGGGGAGAACCTTGGGGGCTTTTTTGCTTTGAATGTAACCAAAGCGTTTTCAAAAAATAAGGAGCTCCCCCTGACGGCTTCACGGTAAACAGTGTCAAGCAAACGACTGCCAAAGCTGTGGTTATTTGTGGCCACTGTAGTTACAGGTACTAGCACATAAACAAGGAGGCAACTATGTTCATTATGCTTACTGCGGGAAATCAGTGAGCCCTTTTAAAGGGGAAAATGAGACAGTTTCCTCCCATAATGTCCTTCTCTGCTCTTTGAGGATATAAACATCGGAGTGCAATGCAGTAATATATTTTTAAGAGTTTCTGTTTCAATTTGTGTATAAATATTTTTCTGTAGTTAATTCTTGTTCTGCTTTCGGTTTTAAGAGAGTGTTACAACTTTTGGAACGCCAGATTTGATTGCTTATTTTCTCCTTGTTTCAGATTCTTGCCTCCATTGAGCTTCTGGCCCGGTCATTGCCAAAAATTCACCGCAGTGCATCTGAGCCCTCGTTAAACCGGGCTGGCTTCCAGACAGAAGATTTTAGTCTATATGCTTGTGCTTCTCCAAAAACGCCCATCCAAGCAGGGGGATACGGTGGGTTTCCAGTACACTGAAAGAAATGTGAAAGCATGTGCCTGCGTGTCTGTGTGCTGGTGTGTTCCTGAGAGTGCAACACGTGTACGTTCTCAGTTCCTACCAGCTCTGGTTTTGAGGTTTACTGAGGGAATGAAGACTCGCTTCCTAACACTGGGCATCGAATGTCCCAAGCACAAAGTCTGTGTTGGTAAGGAATGCCCTAGGAACAGCTGATTCCAGAAGAATTATAAGGTCACATAAGAGAAGTGGGAAAAGGCACTTCAAAACAAGCAAAAATCCTCTTAAGGTCATTGGCTGTGTTTTTTTATTGCCTGTGTCATTTTTGCCTAGTTCATTGATTGGAATTAGTTACTCAAGAGTGTATTTGATTTTAATCTGCTCAAGCTATGGTGGTGCCTTTAGGATTTTTTTTTTATTTCAGTTGAGGTCATTCTATCTGAGCGATAGGCTTTAGATTCCTCAGTAATGCTACTCATATGTGGGCGACGATTGGAAAAATTAACTTAGCTCAAGGCTGAGCACAGTCAAAACTTCCTGTGGTCAGCAGAAATGAGCAGGTAAAACACAGAATCCAAAGAAAGACGCTAGTGACACATGTGACTTTCATTCTGAAAGTTGAAATTTAAAATAGTGCTGTTTAGAGAACTTCTCTTCCTAGTGAGGAGTGGTAGCATGTTTGGTTTTCCCTTTTTTTTTTGCTTAAATACTCTGACCTGCTATAATTTAGACCATCTCAAAATGTTCTATTACAATGCAACGTAAAAGAAATTCTGAATCTGCTTTTGCTGAACTGCAAGAATATTACTGGTGATGGTGCCTGTATCCTTCAATTAGCACGTATTTCAAAATTATTAAAAATAAATAAATCTTGAGCATAACCAAATACTTTAAGAGAAGAAGGCAGCTAACACTCATAATAGGAAAAGACGATTTGAAAAAGCAGTTGTTTGCATGGAAATTGGTATAATACCATGAAGATGAAAGGTTTTAATTACTTTGATATTGTTAAGAATACCACTGAACATGCTTCTGTTCAGTAACAAGTTGTTTTTTCACCTCTGTATAAAAGCTGCTGGTTTTCCTGGAAGAGCAGCAGTTAGACTAAATAGCTAACTGAGGAAGCTAGACAACCCTACCAAGATCCTGTCAGCTCAACTTTAAAGATTGTATTTTTCTCTGGAGCATTCCTCTGGAAGAGGTGAATCAGAGCAGAGGTTCAGGTTATATCCGTCTTTGATGTCAGATATCAAAACAATAATCTTATTAACTGAGTTCTTGCCTATTTTGAAATTAGTTATGTGGTTTTGTTTGTTTTAAACTGCTAAGCTATTATTCTGCATCAGAAACAAGCTATTGCTGCTCTTGCTAGGACTTCAAGGGCCAGGAGTGTTCTTAATGGCTTCTGATTTACATACTTACGGAGAGGTTTACATGTTGCTAGCGATAGTTTTTTGAAATAGGTCAGGAACTCAAAGAAGGTTTTCTTTTCTGCTGTCTGGCAACTGAGCCTTTTAAAACAGGAGACAGAGTTAGAGAGCTTGAAGAGATGTAGCCAATTCCTACGTTTTCTGGCTGGATCCTAATAGACTTTTTGGCTTCTGCTGTTGGAACAGTTTGGGAAGTAACTTTTCCCATTTTGTTAGTCAAGAAAATTCAGCTGTTGAAACCTACCTCCGTGGAAATAACTATGGAGGGTGAAAGTTTTTATTGTTTTAGAAAATCTGTTTCCCATCTTTTTGGTAGCTTCATTTTGGCAGACTTAACTTAAAATGAAAACAGGATTTAAGTGGGGTTTTTCTTCTCTTATTCTTTTATTATTATTATTTTAGACAGTGGGGAGGAATGGTTCTTGAGCTTTGGGGTATGGTATTCAGTGCAGGCTGTCATGCCCATCTCAGTAAGAGCAAGAGGATTCTGCAGAATCTGGAAAGGTGGCATCCCACAGAGAAAAAGCTTGACCACATGATGCAGAGCCATCACCACTGCCCTGCCCAGGCTTACACTTTTTCAGATCTGCCAGATAAATTCAGAACCCTGGAGCTGGGTTATCGTCCTTGTTGGTAAGATTGGGGGTTTTTGTGCTCTAGGAACTACAATTGCAGGAGAAAAACATATGACATCTTTAGACACGTTTGGCTCCATCTTCTGCAGCGTGGTCAGTGCGTTAGACTTCTTTCTGTGTCACCTGTTCTTGCACATCGAGCGTGGCTTGAGGATCCATGGCCATAATGTGATCTTAGCTTCCCACTAAACATTTTATGAAGCCTGAAAGGAGGTTTTTTTTGTGGATCAAGTTTGTCTGACATAAAGGCATTTAGGGGTTTAACTTCCATAGCTTATAATCACTGCTTCAGTGAGATGTGGGAACATAGGTAGGATGAAGGTGCCTCCATACACCTGTATATTTGAGTCAGTGTTCTCCAAGATGCTACTCAGCTGTATTGTTAAGAAACAGATACCTATCAGTCCCCAAACCCAGGCTTTTCTGGAGGGATAGTTTATACTTTTTTGTTTACTTCCCTGCGTCTCATTTAGAAAAAAAAAGTCTGTCTTGGTACCTTCTAGAAAGACCAGATCCTCATATATACTGCTTTGTACTCTTTTGAGGATACTAATTATCTGCATCAGTGTACGTTACAAATTTTCGTTTGACCAGTGAAAGGTATCCATACTGGAAGATGAGCACAGGATCCAGGAGAACTGCCTCTTTGTCATACCTTTTTCTGTGTCTGTGAATGTAACCTGGGCAAGATGCTGGAATTTGGTGTTTCCTTTTGATAAGTCAATTACTCTCTACTTAAATAGGTGAGGCTGACACAGGCCTGTAAGGGAACCATTCTTCTCCTTACAATTTTTATGAGAAACATGGCATCTGCCCCAGGATAAGGAGTATAGTTAAGATGTATATGTACCTTGGTAACCTCATGAATCCAGGTAACTTACAAATTTGTGAGAGTAGAGATTGGTAACTGCAGTTTAAATCCTTTCAGGAATCAGGGGCAGCAGGTTTGCTCTGAACATGCCCTTAAAATATGGTGTATGGACACTGTATAGAAGAAGTCAATCATATTTTTAGTACGCATTTTCTGAAAGTGTGCATTTAAAATAGTTTCTACTTGCTTTGCATGTGGCAAGCGTGGAAAGACTGTTAACAACTCACTTAAAAGGGCTCTGTAAGAAGTGTATATTTTCAGATGCTATCTATCCATCTTTTAGAAAGGGATTTCTTTGTTACAAGTCAAAGCAAGTATCTGAAGTTAGGCTTGGTAAAAAGCACATCAGACGTCTCTGTCTCACAATGAATAAAAATGTCTATTGTTGTTTCCACATTCCACATCACTAAGTAGGTGGTTTTACAGCTTTGGGGTAAGCTGATCTCGTTTGGAGCAGCCATGGCCCAGCTCCTTACCCTGGTACTGGCAGATGCTCTCCAATTCCATGAGGCCATTCCAGACAGCTGAGTGGGTTCTCCCCACCATTAGCAGAGCAGCTCTCCAAAAACTGGTTAGAAAACTCTCCTTGCCCACCAGCCTGAGCTCACATTTGCTAGCTCAGCTCCTTGACCATCTTGCCAGAGGGACAAACAGTGCCGCGGCGGCACGACGGGCAGGTCATGGCTCTTCTGCTCAGGTCAGGAAGGAGAGTAGGAGGACTGCACCAGTCCCAGTTTAGATTAGTATTGACACAGAACTGTGTCAGAAAACTTAACCAAGGCAGGATGATCCTGCTCCTGCAGGACAGGGTATTGCTGAGTGTCTTCATTTTGGCCACTCATCACTCTCACACAAGGCCTTTCTGTCCTGCTAGAAAACGGTGCATTCACAGCTCAGGTTACTTCATTCATCTGTGTGCACATGAGTCTCGGAAAGAGGCTGCCTGTGTTCTCTCTCCCTTTCCTACAGATGGAGTTTCTTTCAGCAGATAAAAGAACCAGCTACAGATATTTCAGTCTTGAAAAGAGAAGACTTCGTGGGGACTTTAACTGCCTTTCCAATACATGAAGGGAACCTACAGGAAGGCTGGGGAGGGACTTTTTACAAAAGTGTCCACCAGTAGGATAAGGGGAAATGGATTTGAGTTAAAGGAAAACAGATTTAGACCGGATCTTAGGAAAAAAATCTTCAGTACGAGGGTGGCAAGACTCTGGAATAAATGGTCCAGAGAAGCTGTGGATGCCCCCTCCCTTGAGGTGTTCAAGCCGGGTTGGACGAGGCCTTGAGCAACCTGGTCTAGTTGAGAGGCGTCGCTGCCCATAGCAGGGTCACCGTGGGCAGGGGCTAAGGTCCCTTCCAATCTAGGCCATTCTATGATTCTGTGATATTTTACATCTTCAGAATAGAAAGGGAAACACAAAGCATTTTAGCTGTTCCTCTCTAAGTCCTGCCAGCACCTCACAGGATGGAAGGTTCCTGTGCATTCCCTAGAAAGCTGTTACTGGTAACTGCATTTTGTACGTGTTCAATCAACATAATCCTATTATTAGAGAAACGTGTTACCTATTTTGGTCTCCTATTGATTTGAGATCAGATTAGAGCCTGAATTTTGAAAGGACAGATTTAGCATTACCTTGGCAAAGAAAATGTGCGTGCTAAGATTTTATTTAAATGGCAGAAAAGTCTGTAAAGCACCTTTTCATAGCTACCATTCTATCTGAAATGCTTCTTGACTTCTGAGCCTGTTTTTCCATTGCCCTTTCCCAATTAGTGGCTCATCTTTTATCTTCTGAAACCTCTGTGTGACTATTAAAAGCTGAATTATTACCAGAAATGGACAGAAGGACAAGATGAGTAATGAGGGAGCAATCTCTTGTTTATAAATTGATCTTTAATCAGCAGTTTAGGAAGGCAGGCTGAAAAATAAATTAAGTAGAACATGTTTTGAAAGTGTAGCTAAGCATGAATGTCATTCTTAAAAACTAGCCTCACAGGCAATACTTGATTGCTTTTTTGCCCTCTTAAAAGAAGAAAAATGCAAAAATTGAGATGTTTCTAGAAGGTGCTGTGAAGAGAGTTGGGGGATGAATGAAATGTGTCAGAAGCAAGAAAAATTGTCAAATGTTTACAGTATTTTAGAGCAAGGCTTTTATCAGTTGGTAGAACTAGTTGGGTCCATTGTGCAGTTTTTATTCTTTTATTCCTGTAAACCTACCACCACAGCCTATTGAGACACATAGAGCTTGAGGTCTGTCACAGCCCCATGTCAGCCACCCTTACTTTAGAAATTGGGTGTACTCCCTCCCTTCTCGTTTCCTACAGATAGCTCCCAGAGCCCTCTTCCCCTCTCCCTGCTTTCTTCAGTTCCCTTAGATCAGCTGGATCAGCTCTTCCTGCCAGACCCTGTAGATGCCTTTTCTTCTCCTTCCCTGTGCAGATTGCTGACCACTCTTCTTTATAGAGCAAGATAAGATATTCCATGGAATTAATTAGTCTAAAGTTCTATTTGCAGGGATGTTTCTGGTTTGATTCCAATATTTAGAATAAGAATCTTAAGGAGGAAAAAAAAAAAAAGCCAACTTGCTTTCAAGAGCTTCTTGCTCTTGAAAGGATGGAAGGACACCAAGATAGGGAGCAGTTGTTTGAATGTGATGGCATTCACTAGGCTTCTGCTGAACAGAACAGAGGGTCTCTTATTCCTGCTTATCACTCCTTCATTATTAGGAGATCTGTCAAGAAAGGGCCATAAATTAACCTGAAATTCTTGTGAAACCCAATACAAGGGAGTTTCTTTTTCTCTTGCTCCTAAGTCCTTTAGGTTAAGCATAGGTGGAGACCCCTCCTTAAAAATCCTGTAGAACACAATTTCTTTGTTGATAGCAGGGAATTTTTTTTTGGCTAAAGTATAGGGTTAAGAGGATGAGTATCTTAGACTCATCTTCTATTCAGTGTTCTGGCAAACTTAAGACCTTGGGCAGCCATTTTACTCTGTGCCATAGTTTCATCATCTCTGAAGCAGGACTATCAGTCTTACCTCACAGCATACTGACACTAAATAAACTGTAGAACTGCAGGAGATCATCGCATGTGAAAGTACTGCACAGAATTACTGTTTATTCAGTAACCCTGAAGGAGGCATGGGGTTGCTTTATTTGTTGTGCTCCCTATTAGCAGGGCCTCATTTCTTGTCTGGGAGCGAGTAGACAATCTCACCATTCTTAATATTCTCACAGTAGTTGCTATGTTGGTCTCTAAACTGGATCCTGACATTCTTTAATACTGGTTTAATATTCAGGCACTTCATATAGTCTTTAAAGGTTAATCGGTCTGTCAAATAGTTCTTTCTACACCAGAACAGAAGCTAGTTTGCAGTCTGGCACATTTATTGAAAATGTTGCTTTTCAAGAGGACATATGTGCAATAAGGAGTTTAAAGTGAAATTAAGCTGACACATTTTATTTTCAAATGCATGTTGAATTAGACTTTGCTTGAACTTTCAGGCCTCTATCTTGGGAAGACTGGGTACAGCTTGCTTTCAAGAAATTCTTTTTTGGTAAAATACGCTGGGTCTGTATTCAATGTTCTCTCACTATGTATTCTTTTGTGCTTTAATTTTAACAGTTTGCATTTTTTTAACATCTTTTATATTCAACCTAATGTTCAACTACTCTGGAGGAAATCTGACCGCCTAGTAGCTGAAATCACCTTTTTAAACCAAGCTCTTGTCCTCCCTCTACAGGAGAATTTGCAGCGTTCAAGTAGCCACAGCACCATGGCAGCACCCACTCTGTTATTTAAAGTCTTGTGTTCCTACAGTTTCTTAACATCAAAACTCTGTTCTGCTCCATGAAACCTAAAGTAATTTAGAAAAGATACCCATAAGCTTAAAAGTGGAGCAGAATGGAACTGCCAGTCCAACACAATGGGGAAAAAAAAGTACCTTTTTTGGGAACCAGAATCCTCTGCTGCCAGTGTTTCTCCTTCGACACAAACCACCACGTGCATTCGGAAACCCGCAGTGGCTGCCTGTGCTGTTGGCATCATTCCCAGGAGAGAGGAGAGGGCGCTCGTGGTTTGACTGTGGTGCTCGGGCATGAGGGGATGGAGCTGCTGCTGCAACTTAGGAGACTTGCTTTGGATGGTCTGCCGGTCGGCTTTCTCCCTCTAACAGCAACGTACCATCAGAGGCTGAAAATCTGATGAGTGCTAGTTCAAAAGAATCATCCTCCATTCCAATCTTTTTCTTTTTTTTTTTTTTCTTCCCCTGATGTACTCACTGATTTATGGACAACGCAGTATCCCCTTTTCACTGTATCACAGCGTCAGACACCTAAATGTGTCTATGTTATTGGGTTATATTCCAGTAAAATTAAAAGTGGGGGGTGATGATGGGAGCTGGAGAAGATGTTACTCTAAAGGCAAAGAGGTTAATCTGAAGGAAAAGGGGATGCTGCTGCTCCTTTTTTCAGATTTACTTTATCACTTCTTCAGAAAACAAAAAACCACCACCAATCTTAACCTTTTTTCCTTTTCCAGTATTTTCTTGATATGTGCATATACAACATCTTTCAGAAGGATTAGGTAGATCCTTCTTTTGTTGGTCCAGCAACAAACTGAAGTTTAAAACAAAAATGATGTAGCGAGATTGTCCTCTCTTTTATTTTTTTCTTTTGTATCATATGATACAATGTATTTATCAAAGATGCTACTCACAGCATCTGAAGTCTGTAGAATTCCTGATACAGACTGTGAATGGTGTATGTACCTACTTTAAAAGTTTTATTTTAAACGAGGGTGCAGGTTGATGCCAGGTACCTTACCAATATGTAATGTTTTCATAAACGGGGAAAAAAAGTTCTCAGGTTGAATTGAATACAAATACAGAACCCCCTAGAATTAGACATTCCGAAAATTATGTTTTGGTACTTTCAAGAGCTTTTTTTAAAGGAATTTTATCCTGTTAACTAAACATCCTCCGATAAGTGTGTGTGTAAATGTGGAGCATCTTGTCCTAATGGCAAGTTGTTAGATCAAAAACAAAACGGTACTTGCTGGATCCACGCTGACTACTTCTCCTTTCATCGCTTTCTCCCCTGTCATCTCTTCCCTTCCGTTTGTCTTTCCCTTTTGTACACTTTGCAAACTAGGATGAAGGTGGCGGTACCTCCGTTAGAGTGCTTTGTTTTCCTGTCCTCCAATCCTGGTTTTCAAATGGTCGGTAGCTTTTTAACAAGTTACCCAGTCAGGGAGAAGAAACAACTCATAAAGTTCTGCACATTGTTTACCTCTCGTAGAATATCTCGTGATGTGATCTGTTTGCGGAGTTCTCTGGTATGTGGTATTACATGTAAATTATTTGTACAGAGGCAAGTCAGACCACATTAGGAAGAAATTCAAGCTCAGACAGACGTTTTCAGAATTTGATTCGTATTTGGCCTGTACCACTCCAGGTTAGGCAGGAGAACCGACCCCCCTCTAGTGGGGAGGTTTTTGCTGGGGGGAGGTGGGGGGGTGTTAAACCAGAATCATGACAAATAAATGAAGGAGTTACATGTGTGTGAATGTGGTGTCCGTGTTAAACATGGGTGTATTTGGTGAGGACACAGTCCTTCCCTCCCTAGGGAGAGTTGGACTGTTTCTGTCTGCAAAAGGTTGCTCCCAGGTGAAGGGAGAAAAGCACATTGGTTGTGGAACATGCTTTTAAAACCCTGGAGCTCTGCATTGTTGCTGGTAGTCTGTTATCTTTGTCAGTAAATACTTACTGGGGTTATAGGGACCGGACTAATCTGAAGTGGGAATTATAACTGAAATACTGTGTATTCATATTAATTCCACAAACATTAGCAAGACAGCAATAGCGAATGACTTAATAGTCACTACAAGAATGAAGTGATTCATGTTGGTACATGAATAGAATTGATTTTGTGTACAGGATGCATTTTAAAAACAAACAACAAAAAAAAGCACAATTTTTTTCTTGTCTGCTCTGGGTCTTCAGATGCTGTAAGGTGGGGGTTTTTTTCTCCTTATTGAGATTGGCAGGAATTTAAATAGTAGCAATAGCCACTTTCCAGTGTGGAGAAGCTAATGGAGAGGGGTGGAATCGGGGTGCTCGCTGCTGATGGCCTGAGGCTAACACCTCAGCGGTGGAAGGAGCCTGGGCAGGCAAGAGCAGATCCTGAGTTGGGCTCCCAGAGGGTCAGAGAGTCGCTGCTCAGCCTCCCTCGGCCCCACGCATTGTTCCGGCCCCTGTATGGGCTGTGGCCTAATTTGTAGATGTCGGGCATAGTGGAAATTAATGTTCTCTTGAAAAAAACTGTTACCAGAGCAAGGATGGGCAGGTGGTTCAACAGTCATTTGTTTCGCAGAGCTTGTTAACAGCCCTAGTTTCCTTACACGAGGTCACGTTTGGCAGAGGATCGTCTGCTAAAACATAACTGCTAGGAATTTCATTCTATCTTTGCTTAAAATGAACTTATTTTTGTGAAGTTTCATTACCCATTAGTCTACAATATGCTTCTTGAGCCCATAGGAAAAGCACAAGGAAAATTGCTATCCTTGTCCATGCAAAGCACTTTATAAGTAACACATGATCTCTGGGTTGGTTTTTTTTATAGGGGGTTGTTTGTTCGTTATTTTTGTTTTTCAGTTTTGTTTTTGTTTTGTTTGTTTGTTTGTTTCCCTGAGGAATGTGCAAGTTGTTCGGCTGCTGTTTAGAGAAGTCCTTTCAGGATGCATTTCTACTGGTTTTCACGTTTGTTTGTTTCCCTCCAGATAGCTGTAGTAATGTGTTTGTCTGTAAGGATTTTTTTTTTTTTTTTTAATCTTTTCCTTGAGGAGCTTTTCTGGATGTCTTGAATGCCATCAGCACCAGTCTTAAAGGCGCTCTGTAGTTGTTTAGTGAATGGAGAGATAAGAGTAGACAAGAACCGAGTACCCTGTATAGCAGTGGGATGAAGGAAGTAAACTGAAATGACCAGTATGTTCATGTCCATTACACCAAATTTCTTAAGCTTCTCTGGTGTCCCAACCATGAGCACATGCCATGGCATGAAAATGGGAGTAGGTATTTTGTGTGCACGTGTTGGGACAAACTTCTAGATGGTCATACTGCTTTTAGCTCTAAAGTATCTAGTATCTAATAATTATTTGCAAAACTACCGGTATCCAGTCACGGCTATTCATGTCTTATTAACCACACATAGACCTTCCCATCTGTCTTTCCATTTCCATAGAGTTAGAAGAGTTACATCTTCCCTGTCAGTACGTGATTGTTTCCTGCAGTCTGTTTGCTGGAACTAGAGCATTGTAGTGAAGCTTAAACGAAATGGTGTGAGTGTAGATGTCTGGATATTTTGAAAGTCATTTCTGCATGAGTTAAGTCCTACGTGGCTCCAGATGCAATTAGCCTGGTCATTTCTTTTTTGCTAAACTCATGCAGGTCATTAAATGAATCCAATTCTGCTTTTTCGGCTTAGCTAAAATCACCTTTTCTTGTACTGGAATGTTCTAGCAGCTGATGATGATGCAGAATGAGGCCAAATACTGCCATCTTATTGTGGCCTCTCAACATCACTTGGATTAGCGTGTGCTCATTAGAGGCAGAATTTGGCCTTCATGGCATAAAGCGAGTGAAATGCTGACTGTTGATAAATGCCATGTCTTTTCAGAAATGTCCAGGTTGAGGGGAAAAAAAATACATTGACAATCATGCATGAATAGGTTTGCTTCTCTGTTTGCCTGGTGATGTAAATGCATCCAGCATCTTACAGAACATTTGGGGAAGCCAGATCCCAAGAAACCTCACCAACAGGTACCAGCTGAAGTTTTGATAGCTGAAGGGGCTAAATTTAGAAAAGCAGCATGTAGACATTTCACACTTCTGCACCCTATAGATTTCATTCCCTTCTCAACTGTGAGTGCAGCATGTGTAGCACAAACTATTCATAGTACTGTAGACAACGTGTCTTCTGTCTGTTGAAAAAAGCATCACCAGTAGCACAGTGCGAGAGGCGAAGCTTCTAGGTACAGTGAAGTTCAGTAAAAAGCAGTTGCGTGAGTGGACTGTTACAGCATCACTCGGAAGGTGCTGGGTGTTCTGGTTTTCTGTTATGCATTTTACACAGAAGTTTATGAAACGAGCTTTCTGTTTACTGCAGCCTTGTTAGTACGCGTTTGCACGTCTTATTTGGTTTGGCATGCATTTTAAATACCTTTCTTCATCGCTTCGTTACTTCTTACCTAGGAAGTGAAAATATCAGAAGGGCAGAGCAAAGTTGTTAAAAACTTTTTCTTTGCATTTAAGTTTCAAGGATGCTAACACAGAAGCTACTAAGTCAGCACCATGACAGCAGTAAATAACTATGAAACTGTGGAAGGAGAAAACTTTAAAAACTGCAGAATATAGAGTACACCAAGAGCAAATTCAGATGAAAACTAGCATCTCTCCTTTACAAAAGAGAGCTACTGAGACCCTCTGTTAAATGGTTTACATAGGGATCCCCCAAAACAGTCTTTGCAGTTTGCCAAATGATCATGTGCCTTCACAACCGTACAAAGTACAACAGAATGTAAACCAGGTGCTTTGTAACTAGACCAGTGGCTTTGGTTTACTTCTGATGCAGTTGTTTTGTATATAGCTATTACTATAGATAGGTAGTTTCGAGCTGGTGAACTTCTGTAAAGGAGCAAGGAGGGCAGAGAAGCATTCCCCAAAACACGTATGATCATTTCAGCACTAGGAATTGAAGGATCCCGAAGTCAGTTACAGTAAACCTGCTGCGTGAAATCTGCTCTGTCAAAAGTTCAATGAGGTTCATTTAATTTACAAATAAATAAACCCTCCCTCTCCAGAGACACGAATACGTTGTTAAAGAAAAGTAATAGAAAGCTCTGAAGAGGCCCAAAGTTACACTCTCATAGCATCTTGGAATGAGACGGTAGATGAAAAACGTGAGCTAGATGAGAAGAAATTTATGTAATGGAAGTCCACATATATCAGACCATACCATTAATTCCTTGGCCCAGAAAGTGCAATTAATTTTGTTTTCTGGAATATCAGCAGGTTTCCTTAGTTCTTCCTCCGGCCTCTTGCAATTACTCTTCAGCGATTGCACACTGTTACTGCATGTTAATGGTGGGAGATGGTGGGTTGGTAGGTGTCTTGTCAGCTGAGGGACAGTCAGCATGTTTGAATTTGTTCCAATTTCAAACTGGTTACATACACTGCTGGCAGTACTTACATACCAGTGACATATTTAACCTACTTGTCCAAAAAAGGATGAAATAATGGGGTTTGGTATTAGTGCTTTTTCAGATCTTTTCCTTTTCTTTGGGGCAAGACTTTCGACATGATTGTAAATTGTAAAGTTATGTCTAAAGGCACAGTTCATACAAAATACCAAACCAATTTTAATTTAGTTTTGTTCCTTTTAGAAAGCGAAGTGTAAAAACGCTTTGCTGATGATGTTCCAGGAGCTATCTGGAATCCTTCTACCTA